TTGGCACTAATAATCCATATGGTGGTGCTAATCTTTTTGGTAACATGAATTTTGGTGGTGGTGACAGTGGTAATAGTAATGGTTTACCAAATTTTAATTCAATGGAACAAGTTCTTAATAATCCTGCTTTCATGCAATACATTTCACAATTGATGCAAGATCCTCAGTTTATAGATAATGTAATTGCCATGAATCCACAACTGGGAGAAATGGCACCTCAACTTAGACAATTGTCACGGGGGCCAGAATTTCAATCTTTATTATCAAATCCAGAGGCAATTCGTCATATGGCAACTTTAATGGGTAATAATCCTGGAGGGTTTGGTATTACAACACCAAACAAAACAACCAAGAATCATCTCCTCCCACTAGTAAAGCATACTTTTTCTTTCACTGATGAGGAACAAGGGGCCTTTATTGAATCTATTTTTAATTTGCTTGAAAAAGCACTTAATGAGTTCCTTATTGAGAATGAACATATGATTCCTTCCACTGTTGCCAAGATCTTTGCCTCCAAACATCACATAAATCCAGATTTTGATAATGCAGATGCTTAATTTCATAATTGAGAATATAAAAATTTTTGACAAATCAGTATTCCATGGTCAACATAAATCAAATCTGACTCAGTTTTTCAAAAATTATAAGAACAATGTTAGGAATAGGGTAGCCTGTGGAACTTTAATAGATCAAAAATGTCAATGGAGTGACAAAATATTGCTATACTTGCATGCGATGTTGTCACCTGTTTAGTAAATAATTTATAACAATAAATAATTTTGTATAAGAGTTGAACTGACTCATCATTTCTTTTGATACCAGGTGACAACTATAAAGAATCACATGCTATAAAAGAAAAACTTGATAATAAGATTATTCAAAAATGGATGAATGATAATTGATTATTTTATTATTTTATAACGTAGGACAAATTGAAAATGATCTACCATGTTTGGGTTGGTCTCCAAAATTTAGGGGGTGTTAGGATGCACCCATATGATTGTCACGTATTTCATAATTTTATTTCTCATCTTGAAAAAATGTACAATATATAAAGAATTAAAACATATGTTTTATAATTTTTCTTAATACATTTACATAAAATTGCATTAACTATTTTGACCATTTGCAGATCTGGTTGAAATAGGGTTGAAATAAGGTTGAAACTGATTTTTACTATGTAGTTGCCTCAAGTTGAAACATTTCAACTTTGGGGTTTTAATTTTGACTTCATGTATAATTACAATGACAAATTTAAAAACTTAACATTAAATTAAATACTTCTATTCCATATCAAATATAGATAAATTCTTACATCTTCTGTACATTTATTTTCTATAGGGCAGATTTCCATCCATTCTTAACTTAATGTTAACAACTCTAGAAAAACCTACAAAGTGAACATAAAATTATATATATAGGGATAAGTGTAATAATGTAAATAATAATCATAATGGTTCTAATGAATATGAAATAGCAATTTATTTTTTAGAAAAAGATTGTGATTGTGGTTGCTCTTCAAGAATCCCCAAGGAACAATTTGCAGAATTAAAGGAATCCTTTCAAGCTCTTTCTAAAACAGAGCAAGACATATTTTTAATGGCTCAACTTAAAGCAATGGATGGAAGGACAGTAAGCACCAGTAGACACCTTAAGAAGAAAACTAGACCTAACAAAAAAACTTTCTATCACGATACAATACTTTGCCAAAAAACATATCTCAATATGTTGGGAATTGGTAGGACTTATTTTGAAAATATTAGGTGATTGACAAAAGTGTTGCTATAGTGGTAAAGAATTTTCTGAAAAATTGCACAAAAGTTCATGGATTCCCAAGTCCAGGAAGAAGTAATAATAGAATAACTTGATCAATTACATTCTTATCAACTGAAATGAGTTACAAGTCTATGCATAGAGACTTTCTAGCAGATCTAGAAGAAGATAATAATTTGAAATCTTTGAAGTATGATGCCTTCAGAAAATTATGACACCAATTAACACCAGAAATTCAAATTATGAGTCCCAGGACTGACTTGTGTGATACTTGTCAAC